AGAAAAAGGCGAGGAATCACCAAATTAGCATCCATCCTCTGCGGACCAGGAATGTTGGTACAAAAATCTAACTGCAATCTATTCATTATTTGTTCAGATATTTCAGTCTGGACCAAAGTGGTGGCCTGACATGACATTTCCAGAATGCCAATGTACTAAAGATACTTCAGCCATATCACCCAGCCTTAGTTGTTGGCCTGAAATGCTGTCTCATTTCTAAGAGTGAGCAACTGAGTTTGATGTCTGAGTGTAAATCCCTCAGTCGATACATCAACTCCTTTAAACATGATTTAGTTGAACAAATCCTGGGAACCGGGCTGACTTTCTTACCCACTGAGCCATTCTTCCATCCTTCTTTTTGTGCAGCTCCTCTGTCTGTCTTCTAACAAATTGGCAGGATGGTCAGTAGCCGCGCCCTCCTCCCAGCGCAGGCCTGCCATCCACCCTTCATTTGCATACCTTCTTTCTTTCATCACTGTGCACCTCCCTTTTTCTATTGTGTGGTCAATGTGAAAACAACGTTTGGCATTGATTTATTTTGCTACTTTATCCCAACTCCCAGCTGTCCTTCAGTGCCTCTCTTCAGCATCACTCCACTTATGTATCCAGAAGAATGGTCACTATTGTGTCTGTATGCTCTTTCTGGCACTGATCCATTTCACCCTTCGGGTGAAGAGAACTGAAGTACTGGGACTAGAGCCAGCTGGCCTGGGATCAGTGTAGCTCAGGCACAATAGCAAAGCCAGGCCACGGAGAGGAGGTTAATATAGCGCAGATAATGTGTTTTCAGCACCATTGTTCTCCTCTCTGTCTATATGCCTTAGACATACTGTCTGTGCCCAGAACAAGCTTCAAATGAAAGGCTGACTTCTTCTAACATTTGCTCAACACACATCAAGGACTGTAACCCACTGTCAGTGTTTGACAAATTAGTTAATGTTTGTCCTTCTGGTTTGTTTTTCAAATCTCTGTGCTAATATTAGCCAGTAAGTAATGTTTTATGAGAGCATAATACTGTAAATACTGATGTTTCTCTTTAAAAGACAGACTACTGTATGTCTATGCCAACAAGTCATCTAAACAGTCACTAAGCAGAATATCAACATGCAGAATGGCAATGAAAAAATGCCTGCCAGGTTAAAAAAGTACCAGAAACTGTAGCCCAAACTATACTATTACTATTTTTAAAATGTCATTTATATTGCTTCTGTAACCCAGCCGCTCTGTCCGTCTGATGGATGACAGCTGGGTGCAGCCTGTAGAAGCATTGGATCCTGCTGACCCCAGAGCCACTGAATGAGAGGAAGTTCAGAAAAAGAGAGAGGGAAAAAAAAAAAACAGAAAATCTTTGAAGGAAGTAGCTGAAGCTGGGCCAAGACCCTGACAGCTATGTGGTGAAGGACAGTCCAGCTCCTGCCTGTCACAGAACAGAAAGGACCTCTAGGAGGGCAGAGAAGGCAGATGTCTCTTAAATAAACTGTTAGTAACCTTCACATGGCAGATATGACCTGTATTTGGTATATCCACTAGAACATGTAAGAAATAGGCACCAACCGAGAAACAGTGAAAAGGTGAGATGTTAAATGCTCACTGTTCCATTTTTCTTAACAGACGATCAACATCAGGAGTACTTAATTTCTCTCATGCATCCACATTTGAGGGTGTTATTCACATCTCAAGTAAGGCTGTCGCAATAATAATATTGCAATACCACGCTACTGACATGTTCGACAGTTTTACTTATAATCCACTAGAACATGTAAGAAATAGGCACCAACCGAGAAACAGTGAAAAGGTGAGATGTTAAATGCTCACTGTTCCATTTTTCTTAACAGACGATCAACATCAGGAGTACTTAATTTCTCTCATGCATCCACATTTGAGGGTGTTATTCACATCTCAAGTAAGGCTGTCGCAATAATAATATTGCAATACCACGCTACTGACATGTTCGACAGTTTTACTTATAATGTAACTGCTGTTACAAAACCTGTAAGAATAGACGTTCCATGGCGAATCAGAGTATGATAGTTTGGATGCAGTTTTTACAAAGCACTTAAGTAGCATATATTGTATCTGTCATGCAAAACATTTATACACCTGGTGTGAATTGCAAAGTTAAAATGTAAAATTGTTAAATCTCATTCACTAAACAGGTAAGATGTTACAACTGTGAAATGCATGTTTGAAGGCAACATATAAAACCTTGAGCCAACATATTCAACCCGAACCCGTGTAAAACAGTTGTTTACAACAAACTGCATTATGGTTAGTGACTGAATAACTTGTAATGCGTAGGTGTAAAAACAACAACCTGCAGAAATAAGCTCATTATTTATCTGAAAACAAGCAGTCCTTGCATGTCACGGAGCCATCATCTTATTTATCTCATTTGTCATTGTGAGATATATTTCACTGAATTAATACATAATACATAATGCATTAGAAGACTAAAATCTTGTAAATAACCATTGGCATTGCACAATCAATGCACATTTTTTCCTGACCAAACATGTTCAGAACCGTCCCACATAAGGCAAATTGTACTGTCCCACTTTATGAACCACATTTCCTCAGCAGGACAATTGAACATTTGACTGAAATAATGAATATAGAGTATTTTAAACGATATAAGAATATTTTTTTGAAAAACAAACATATCATAAATGCATCCCAATTAAAACTAGCAGGATCAGTTTGTCTAAACGCTGACCTTTGGGTGGTTTTCACAAGGGGTGCTTACAGTTTAGAGATCACTGCATCCTGATCTATGATTGGGTATTTGAGAAGTCATGTGACTTTGCTAACATGGCATCAGAGCTTGTGCTAAGCTATAGTTTCATTGACTTTCATTTCTTTGAGCAAGACCTACAGGCACTGGAGCTTACTTATAAGTGTACTTGTGCAATAGGCACACAATGCTGCTGAGAACATTGTTACCCCTCTCTGATCCTGTCTGGAATTACACAAGTTTAACATGTTAGTTTTCCTGGCATGCAACAAGCATGTGGAAACTCAGGTCGAAATATGGACATTTATTCTTTATGCTAAAGGAAATGACTGTTTAGTTCTCATCTGTTTCAGTGATTCAATATTTTTGTGCCAAACAGACTGTCCTCTTAGGTCATTAAGACTGTGCTGCGCTCATTTATGTAGCAGTAAAATCAGGATAAAATATGTAATTGGCAAAAACAATGACAAAAAAATGGACATACTGCAGTGTTGAGCACCCTAAATGACCACAGGGGAAATTCCTTCACTGCGACAGTCCTACAATAGTTGAGATAATTAAAATGTATGACACATCGTCTCAGACCTGCAGGACGCACTAATCCTAAAATCTATTGTACCTTTTAATTGTGCACCACAAACATATTTGCTAATTCAGACCAGACTGTGTATAAACTTCTCAAAATATACAATTTATTCAAAATATGTTAATGCAACTGTCAGTATATTCCAGTAATTACAACATCAGTAGTTTTTCTTGTTTGTAATATTATCCTTGTAGATGGTGAGGCCTGCAAGCAACCGCAAGCTTTGACCTTGCACCGTGACAACACAGGTTAGTTTTTAACAGGCGACTGGTCCCTTACGGGCTAATACTGACAAGGTCATAGTTCAAAATTACATTTCGGTTTGGTTGAATTTTATTACTATGAAAGCAGATCTGAAATTTAAGGCTGTTTGCAACAACTGGAACAAATGTGAACTGAAGTTCAATAAACTTGAGCTGATTCATAAGATTACGTCCCTGCTTTGGACACTTCTTTAAAAAAAAACAAAAAACAGAAGAAACCAAAAATATGGGAAGCGGTACTCTCCTTCTGAGCAAACTTCTTTCTACGAGAGCCCAAAATTAAAAACTGACCTTTGTAGAAAGGTTGCACAGAAAAACTCTGACCAGCAGCACACCTGGGTACGCGCAACTTTCCAGTCAGACTCTCAAACTGCTGGACAAATTTCACATAGTCTGAATTTCCCCCTTGGCAACCAAATGTGCACTAAGACTGCTCATCATCATGTAAATGCAGTTCATTTGATCAGATAAGGGGATACTTAAACATACTGTATTTACAAACTCATCTGTATTTGAAACTCTACAGTTCAGCTGATGCTATCGGGATAAAATGGTAGTAGCGTTCAGGGTAATCATGTTTGTTTGACTGTTAAATGTCTATAATGGCCTTATAGGTGGTTTTCATGGAAGACTTTGGCACTCACAAGGAGATACGTGAAGCTATTCTTAGATTAATGAAAGAGTTTAAGATGTAGGAAATTCATTTTCTTGCTTTCTTGTTGAGAGTTTGATACCAGCCTTATATTTGTCTGTTTAACATGAAGCTGGTTAGCTTAGCTTAACACAGACACAGGAAATGGGGACAAACAACTAACCTGGCTCTGTAGAAAGGTAAAAAAAAAAAAAAAAGATCCTGCATAGCAGTACCTCCAGTACGTACTAATGAACACATTTAATTGTAGAGACACTTGTGTACTGATGTTGTGTACTGGTCTACTTGTTGGCATCTCTGCATGTTGCCAGGAAATAGTCTGGTACATACTGTATCAACAACATTGGTTTTTATATAAATTAAACAGACTATATATAATGTGTCGATTAGTGAGCTTCAGAGGTGTTTGCAGGTGGGTTTTGTTACCTCTGGACAGAGCCAGAGCAGTTTCCTCCCGATTTACACATTTATTGCACTCACGAGAATTTTCTCATCTAACTCTCGGCAGAAAGCGCATATTTCCCAAAATGTCAAACTATTCTGGTGCTTGTTTTGGAATGGCAAGAGTATATTTTATGCTGAACCTATGATGTATTGCAGGACATCTGACATACTCTAGTACTGCTGGCTCGCTACACAACACGTCTGTATCTTCAGAAAAATATTTACATAACATTTCCAATTTTTGTTGAGATAAATACAGTGACTGGGAGACAAAGCCACACAATGGCCACCAGTAAAAAGCAAAACAAACAAATAACACTGTTATTTGTAGTGACACAAATATGAATCCATCCCAGCAGGATGGTTTGTTTGTATTTTTAATATTGTATACATATAGCAGACAGTAACCTTTACTTCACTTCATCCGTTTCCATGCTGAAGGTGCTTTGCCAGACGATTCTCCAGCTCATCTTATATTGCATTCACATTCTCCACACAACATCCAAGTAATAAATACACTCAACTTTAGGAACCATAATGTATTTTACACATTACATTAATTTCATAAATAAAGAAATGTACAGTAATTTCCAAAGATGTCCGCTTAAATTATCTATGTGAGTGAGCACAAAGTGGATAATGTATAAATCAGAATGTGAGCTGTCAGGTTAGGATTGATATGAGAGGACAGTTGTTGACGGAACACAGTGACAGTCAAACAACAGTGCAGAGTAATATTCTTTCCTGTTGTCTCTCATGGTAGAAGTACACTTCCTGAATATTTTAACACTGTTTAATGGCGTTCCTTCCCTTAATCTGTGCAGACCGTATTTCAACATGGAAGAAGATACCTAGTCTCTTTTTTTGCTACGTTCAGCAGTTTGATGCAACACGATGCAACACAATATATCTGGGCTGCTCTGTGTTGGCCTTCATGCACATTTTGAAAATGGCAAGAATATGGTGAAAAGGATGGGCGTTGTGGTTTCATAAAGGAAATGTTTATTTATGTGATAACCATCCATTTGTAGGTTCTCATTTTTCTCTCTGAGGGCAGAGCATGCAGTACCTTGGGATTGTCTCCACTCTCCTGATTCAAAACTTGACCCTTTCCAGGCAAAAAGCTTAAAAACTGTCCACCCTTTGATTCTCAAAGGTACACAGGGACAGAGAAATAGCTTCTCGTGCTCTTTCTATACATTTGGCATGTCTTGTAAGGAGACGAATTTTAGTCCAGGTGGCATCTGAAGGAAAACAGTGGCACTGCTCGGTCCCTTTTCTCTGCTACAGCTGAAACATCCTTCCATTTGGGAGGTTTCTTCAGTTGCAACAGGAGTCGTGACAGGGAGGTGAATGGAAACGTTTCTAGACCTTCATCAGCCTCCCCCCATCTCCTCTGGAGGAAGTTTCAAAGTAGGGGAGGATGTTAAAAGACAGGACAGCCCCTCTTGCTTTCCTCCCCCCTAGAGTACATTGCTTGCTTCCCTCCTCTGTGCAAACAGTGACTACAGCGCTATGACATGCAGCAGCAGGTCCGCACCTTCGACTGTTCTTCCTCTATTGGCTGTCTCAGCTTGAGGAGGGGTGGGTCGCCGCTGGCTGGCGTGTAGTAAACCGCACTGCCATTAGAGGAAACCTGCGGCATGCGGGGGTCCTCAGAGTTGGGTTTGGCATCAGCAGTGGCGTCTGTGGAGCCATTACCTAGGTGGCCGTTGAACAAGGGGTGATTCAACAATTTGGCGGCGGCCCTCTGTTTCTTGAGCTCCGACAGAGTCTGAGCGCGCTCTCTGGTCAAGACTTCCTCCTGGGCGGGCTGGGTGGTGATGACAACACCCTTATCGGACGATTGCACGTTGCCATTGGAGGCCGGCTGCTGTGGCACTGATGTTGTCATGGGGATGAGGCCGTTCTGTTTGCTGCTGCCATCTTTGAGGATGGTGGGGAGCTTGGGCTTGTCTGGCAGATCCACAGTTACAACGGGCTTGACCTGCAGGACATCAATAAGGATTGCTTTAATCCCTCTATAAGGCTTCTTTTATAGGTAATCAAATACATGAAGGCCTGATTTAGGGCAGACTAGATCAGATATCTTTGATCCTAGTGCCCAAGTTATTAACCTCAAATACTTTTTTTTTTTGCTACATTAAAAGAAAGTGTCCCCTCAGGCACTTTTGTTCAGTGTACTCCAGGAGTTAAATCGTGACAAAAAGCTGAAATTCCCTGGTGTATTGTTCCACAACCTGCCTTAGCATGAAGCTTTTTCAGCTCATGGTTTGCTATACCTCACTGGAAGCCTTCTGATAATCTGCAGAGAAAGTGGCTCACCTTACTGAATAGGGCGAACAATAGCGACTGCATAACGGACCTTTTTCACAGCATGTCATAGTAGGTGTATTTGAAAACACTCATGATGGCGGTATTCCTTTTATGTGAGCCAGGATCATGGTATTGTGCATGGTTGCTGAGTGTTTAGTGGGACACTTAATTAAACCGCACCTCAAGACCTGCGCTCTACAGTCGCTGCTCTTCTTGTGGTGCCAGATGCTAGGTTAGTGACTATGGGTGATAGAGCAAGCTTCCAAACAATCTAAGGCTCAGTGGTGGAAGAAGTACTCAAATTCTTTACTTAAGTAAATGTAGCAATACAACAGTGTAAAAATACTCCTGCATTCAAAATGTTAATTTAATAAAAGTATTAGTACTCATTACGCAGAATGGAACATTTCACATTCCTGTAAATCACTGTATTATATTTACGGATACACTATTGCACATGTCAAACTCAAGGCCTGGATCATTTTATGTGGCCCCTGAAAGCTTAAAATGCGTAAGGTTGAGGTTGACAACCCTGCTCTAAAGTTATAAAATAAATGTAGTGGAGTAAATATTACAATATTTGCCTCTAAAATGTAGTGAAGTCAAAGTATGAAGTATCAAAGTGAAAATAAAGTTTAGGTACATCAAAACTGCACTTAAGTACAGTACTTGAGTAAATGTACGTAGTTACTTTCCACCACTGCTATGGGTCTCTAAACATTAAGTTTAGAGACCCATCTTTTTAAGACAGCTTTTAATGTTTAATAATGACGATGTCCAGCGGTGTTACTTAACTGGACAATATCCCATTTGTTCTTATTAATTTGATTTTATTATTAGTGTCCTTTTGACAGTTTCATCGAATATCATATCATTTAATATCAACATTTAGATATTTCATTGTTTTCAATTTATACTGATCATATTTAGTTGTTTTTAATTTATACTTTTGCTTTCTATTATTGTTTGGTTCTACATTATTGTGAAGTGACCTTGGGTGTTTTGAAAGGCAATTTGTAATAAAATTCATTATGTTGTTAGCTACTCAGAATGCTGGCTGTGGAAAAAGGTCCATTAGGGCAAAACAGCGATTTTCTTCCGGTAGAGGAAAAGCAACTGTAGATGGCTGGCGTTCATTTGAACAATATGTGACTATGTTATATTCTTGTGCATTGACTGCAGCGTTAGTGGAGGATCGTATTGCAGCTTTTTTCCATTGTGGGTTTCTTCCTGTGTGATTTCCTGTGACTTTGTGTTAGAGGAAGCTCCTGTTCTTTAACTCAGATACACCTTCACTAAATCTGACATTTAGGCTGCTAAGTGGGAGAGATCATGTTTCAGAAATCAAAAGCCCCTTTATCTGTTCTGAAAATATCTCAAAGCCACGTCTTGTAACAACTTGTATGCAGGGGAAAAAACCCACCACCAAACAAGAAAATAAACTCTAAAAACAGAAGCTTAAAATTGTTATAAAAGAAACTGTCATTCTGAAAAAAAAACTAGCCATAAGAACATAAGATGATTATCAGAATACTTACATCCATCACTTGGTTATTCTCCTGATCAGACTCTTTCTCTTTCTCCTCCTCCTCCTCCCTCCCTCCCCTCCAGACAATGGCCTCCGTCTCATACTCCTTACGACACAAGTTGTGTCTGTCAGACAGGCTGGCTCGCCGCACCACTTTTCTGTAGACACAGGTAGAGATCACACTGAGATAAAGCAACAGTGAAAGAAACATCACCAAATAAGAATAAATTAAACTTAACTGAAGTGGAATAATACTTCTTTCTAGATTTTGCCTCACTTTAAATCCTTTAGTGTCATTCTTTTAATTGTAAAAATCAAAGATTTGCTCAGCTTTCAAAAAAGGAACCACATAATAAACTGACAAACACCATCTGTAGTGACACTTCCAGCACCAGCAGGTGGCAGCACTTACCCACGACTGCCTGCGCTGGACGTTCGCCTACACAGTGATGTCTTGTGTTTGAGCTGTGACTTCATTATAATGTCATGTTTGTGCTTCAGATCCAACAAGATGGCTCTGAACTCCTCATCCTCGCACAGATCTTAAAGGTATATGAATGAAGAACAGGGTAAATCAGCTTCCTTCACATGAAACCGTCTGCTGTGCTTTGGAAACTCTTACAAATGAAAATCACAAAACCTGGATTATACAACTGTGTTCATATTGTTTTTCAAAGCAATGCTACTCCTGTTGCCCTCTTCCAATTTGCCAGTTTGCCAGTACTGCCAAAAATATGCATGCTGACATTAATAAAAAATAACAAACTGGGCTAGAGTTCCCTTCAGGAATATTTAAATCCGCATTAACTGTGTTCAACTTGCACTGACTAAACAAGCAGCAAGTGAGACGCTGCTGAGATTTGATGTTTTCATAACCCCCCACCAGGTGTATTGATAAGTGTTGAAGGAAGAGTTAATATACCAATGGGAGTCTCCTCGAGGAAGGTCTTGGCATTGAGACTGGCTCCATGTGACACCAGCAGCTCTGCCACATGCATCTGTAGCAGCAACAGTAGTAAATTACATTAACGGGTTCCGACACCTGTGTGTGTGTGTGTGTGTGTGTGTGTGTGTGTGTGTGTTAACTGTTTCCTGTTGTTTACCTTACCTGACCCCAGCATGCTGCAGCATGAAGAGGCTGCCATCCATCTGAGTCTCTCAGGTCCATGCGCGCTCCCCCCTCCAGCAGCAGCTCTGCAGCCTGCACGTAGCCATTTGCCGCTGCAATATGGAGCTACAGGGACAGGGGAGAAACAATGATTTATTTTTTCCAGTGCAGTGTAGATATGCTCTATGCACAATATTTAGCATAGGGTTAGTTTAGATGCTAAAGGATGATGTACAACTGACTACAAAATATTTGCAAAATCAACATTAGATAATCACTTGCTAGCATGTTTGGGGATGTGGGTGTGTCACTGGGGACCTCTATGTTTTGTCAAATTTGGGCCACAAAATTGTGAAAAGGCTTTATTAAGATGTCCAAAAATTATGAAGCAACTTGAAAGAATGGAAATACAACAGAGTTCAAGAAACCAGACAGAAGATATATACTATAGGATAAACTGGAACAGCAGCGAGGTGAAAATAATCAGGGATAAAATGAGCAAAATAAGCAAATATAAAAATGCAAAAAGATAAAAACAATTATCTGACTTATTGGTAAACCATTGTATACTTTTTTTCCCTCTTCATCTAATACAAATTTGAGGTTGGGTAGATTAGATTGGACTGGACTAGAATGAATGATAGGTACACACAGGTAAAATGAAGGCAGAGCTGCTCTTCTTTTCATCTGTGTCAGTGATGAAGCCTGATGATTTGCCATGCAGGGTTGGTTGCTATGTTAATAACCTACAGTGAGACCCCACTTAAAGTCTGGCTAGTGAGGAGAACAACATCTGGGTCTGAACACAACGGGCCTAAAATAACAAGCAGGTGCGAAAGATTTCTATTCCTGGAGAGTTTGAGTAACTGGCAATGTTGATCTCTGGAGGGGAAGATGATGTGTTCTGTATTAGTATTAGTTATATTACACACCGGCATGTTACTGAAGAGGGAGAGAGATAAGCACACAACGTGAGATCAAACGTTATTGATCCTCAGGTGTAAATTAGGATGTACTGTAGCCAGCAGAGGAACATCACAGCCTCAGGGCTTCAGATGCATGCACTTGATATGGTGATGCTTCTTATAAAATACATCATTTTGTTAAGGATAATCACCTTTATTGGCCAAGTATGTTACACGCAAGGAATTTGTTTCCGGTACAGAACCGAGGCAGCCATCTGTGGCACCGACTCAACCGATGACTCTAACCATCGGGGGCAACGAGGGGGTTCAGTGTTTTCACCAAGGACACTTCGACACATGGACTGGAGGCACTGAGATTTGAACCGTCAACCTTCTGGTGGGGAGCCACCGCACCACTGTTGCCTCCACTACTACTACTACTACTCCTACAGTAGGACCCCGATAGAGTGCACAAGGCCAAAAGAAACCAAGACTTCTATGAAAAAGGAGGGAGGAGACACCTCTTTTGTCTATCTCACCTCCCCTCTACTTTCCTTCCTACCTCTCCTCTATCTTCCCTCCCCTGTCTATCTCCCCGCCCACCTCACCTCCTGTCCATCTCCCCACCCACCTTACCTCCCCTCTATCTTGCCTCCCACAATCTATCATGCCTTGACAGAGAATCGAACCCCGATCTGCCGTACCACAGTCAGTGGTGTTAACCGCCAAGCTATCCAGCTACTGGATAGACACACATTTAGAACTTTTACTGGTTACTGCTATTGGTTAACGCCGCTTAGCAAGGGAAAAGGGTGAGGCACACACTTTAATTGCTTAAAACAAACATTAAAATTAACATGGTACCACACCAACTGTGTCACACAGTAGGACACACACACAGACAGCAGAGTAACACACGCACACAAAATAAACACCCAAACATACATAGTCAAAGCAATACAGTGTCGCACAGCAGCAATTATTTGTTTCAATAGTTGATTAGACTGATAGAAACAGTCATTAGTTGCAGCCCTAATTTACATAAATCAACAGTTTCACCTCAGTTTTATCACCACACAAACACAAGAGATGAAAATCATTGTTCCTGCACATAACAACAGTGACACAATGTATTTCAGTGGAAAACAAAACGTCCTCCCATTTCCAGCTCTCTTCCTCTCATATTTGCCAGAGATTTTAATAAGGCATGCTCTACTTTGCTTCATCACACTCGAGTGAAGATTAACAGGATGCATAAAGCCGAGGGACAAGCAGCTCAATCAATCTGTGTTAAGACTTTAAAGCTTCACTGGGTTATTTTGGGCTACTACCATGCAATAGCTATTTTCATCCAGTGATCTGTCACCAAGTTTCCCAAGCATAACTAAATCCCTGATGTATGATAAATACTTCATTATGGCATCTGATATTATCGCTCTGCTTAACAAATTATATGCTAAGAATTTTTTTATTTCCTACCCTATGTTATCAGGCCTCTGAACTTCTAAACTAATCCAGTAACCACTTTAATAGGGACACCTCCCCATTAAAAATGACTGTGGCTGTCTATCAGTACATACAATACAGTTTCTTTGCTTTTATCCTCATGTGCACTTCTGTTTCTACACTTCGGACCTATTTGAACAGTTTGGTAATAAATAAAGGGCGAGCAGGTGGACAGTGCAGACCCAGTGGACTCTGAAAAGTCTCAGTAAAAAAACATTTGTTCAGGAGTATCTATTGTGTCTAAATAGTCTCAGTTCAGTGGTACAGATGGTTGAATGGTGCAGAGAAATGACAGCTGTGCCATACATAGTCTCTTAGAACTATTTATTTACTTTACTGATGTAAACCTACAGCAACTACAAGATGGGATCTCTGCTGTTTGTATTTGGCACTGTAGTAAAATGACATACTGACCTCACTACCATGTTATTTCCAGGCGCCAGTTTAAAAGTAAGGGAAAGCAGCAGCTCTTGGTTTTTAAAGACAAAACCATAGTTGCACAAAATATCCAATGTTTTAAATGTAATGATTATTCGAATATCACTGCCCATCCCTACTAAGGTGTATTCAGTGTTCAGTTTTTAAAATCATACAGCTGATTTGATAGGAATGAGTCTCTAAATGCCTCCTTAACTTTTAAAGTTTTATAGCTCCTCTGTTTTGTCTCAGCAGTCGTGATTCTACTTGGATAACCAGATCGTGGTAGGAAAGAGTTAAGTTTGGTTCAAATTTTATGCAGACCCACTACTTACAATAAGTAAAGTCGATGTAAATTATATAAAAAGATACAATCTGGGAATAAACATTACGTAGCCTAGAAAAAACCTCTTGCTATGAACATTTGGTTTAGAACTATTTTGTACTGTAGGTTGTGTCGTCTGACCACAGGTTTTATAGTTGTTTCTAATGGCAGCACTCAAGGCAATTTAAAAAGGTAGCTTTCATAGAGAAGGGGGAGACGCAGTATCATTTTATATATGGAAAAAATGGTGCACATTTTCTGGCAGTACCCTCTGGAAGACATTAACAGTGTTGAACTTGGTTCTTCACGAGACACGACAGAAATAATTGTGTGAAGAGTGCGAAAAAAAAGAGCTAGAAAGCAGTTTATTTAAAGTGCCGGCTCCTTTCGCACCTTATTTAAAGCGAGTTCGATTTTCAGATCGTTACTTTCAAGGGTTTCTCAAGCTATTTGCTTTAATAGTGTCACGGTCTGAATAACCTGCACGAATCTATGGATGCACCCGGTTGCTGTGGTAGCAGCTTGGAATGATCTAAACATGGCCGCTGACCCATCATCATTACCACTCACTGTGATGTGGTAATGCACTTTACAAAGGTAAAGTGTTGGAGCTGGTTAAACACAGTCTCCTACCAGTGTGCCTCCCTGAGAGTCCTGCTGGTTGACCTCCTCTCCCTGTCGCAGCAGTTCTTGAATGTCTCCCAGCATCCTCCTCTCCGTTGACGCTCGTGTCTCGTTGATCATCTCCTGGGTGATACCTGTCAATCAAACACAGAAAAAAAAAAAAAAGAGTGGTGATCACATGGGATCCTGAGAGCCTTAATAAACAACTGCAGCCTGCTGACGGGCCAGGTTTATTACAGATAGACACACAGAGGGAGAGAGAAGCAGCTCAAGTAGGATAGATTGGGGACACAACATAATGCTTCCACATTAAACTAGGTTCAAAGGTGAATTTCATAGAGGGAGGGAGCTTCATTTTCTTGATGGATGGCAATTTTTCTTCTTTTTTGGAAATTACTCTGGAGGTTTTCTACGAGATTCAAGATGTCACCATAAAAACTTCTCAGCAGGTACAGAAAATTTAAAGTTCCAAAAAGTTTTCATGTGACAACTTCACAGTAATCTAAAAGATACATGAGGTCCAAAGGCAGACATGAGTAATTCAGAACACAGAGTTTAAAAAAAAAAGTCAATGTAATTTGTCTTCAGTTTTTCCTTGCAATTATTTCCTGAGAAATGGGTGCACTAACTTTAAGATCAAGATCGAGCTGTGTACAACATTTATATCTGGATTTTAAAAAGCTGAAAGAATTTTTATTTTTTGCATGGGTGTCCAAACAGTACTTCACTTTCATGCAGTTCGTTCTTCCATATTTTGGTGTTCAGCCCTGTTGAACTGCAGATGATTGTCTGTCACAGCGACTCTACATTTCTCCTTGATCCACTGCCCTGCTGCCAGGTAGGACTCAATACTGTGACCGCTACACTTCAGTGAACAACTGATCCTCCCATAGCTGTACAGTCCAGTAAATTTAAAGAAATGCCAGATTAACAAAAATGAAATCAGCCCATCAGTCACCACCTTTAACTGTGACATCAATAAAAAACATATAATTGAATTTATACATTTGATAATTTCACCAAAAACTCAAACACTTTAAGCTTCATAATCACAGATATTAAGGCAGAAGTGTTGCATTGAATTGCATACAATTGTACAGGTGTACCTAATAAAGTGACCAATGAGTGTAACTTGAACCTGGGCCAATGAAGCGTGAAGGCAAATTTATTCACTCAAACACTCAAGCCTCCAACCTGACACTTTAAAGCTGAACTCCTGTTCCAATGCCACACTCTCATCTCAGCGGTGGTCCACACCAGCGTGATGGCTGGTGATTGTGATCACTGAAAAGGGTGATGAAGTAAACTGCCATTTTGAATTCACAATCAGAATCACAGCTGGAGGGTTTTTAATGGCACGAGAATCAGGACATGACAACCCCCTCTGTCAACTAAAATGAAATGCTACCATTTTCTTCTGTTTTCAGTTGTTTCTGCCTGTAAGCAACATTTTCTCTGCTACAAGAGTCACAAGTTTCACTTGCGTTGTTTCTGTTATATTCAGCTACGGTGACACCCCACAGCTGGAACAATGCCATGAAAAATTTTAAACTAAAATACAGCAAACATTTCCCATTGTCACACTACAACCAGTGTAGTACTATCAAATATAACCAGACAGCAATGACTCCTAAACTGTAACATGACAATGACCCTGACCTGCTAAAGAGGAAACTAGGATCTGCAGGTCTCTGCAAATGTCTCATTTTGACTTAAGAATCCACAGTTTACAGTGATATAACAGACAGACCTCTGTGGACAATCTTCCACATCAACATATTGTATCTCAGTTGATATGCATCTTTTAGTGCTTCACTGAGGACGTTAAACAGCTCTACAAACATCTAAATTAGATTATGTTGCAAGGTGATGTCTGCAAATGTGTCGCTGTACCTGACCAACTACCGTGGCCCTGAAGTGTAAAACATAACAGCTGTAGAGAAAAGACTTCAACATTTCGCAAACCACAACAACAAAAACACAATGACAAAAGACAAATCAACAACATGTCACAAAATAAAAAGAGAAAACAGTTCACATTACACAAAAGCTAGGGACAGCAATGCTTGGTCGGAACTAAATTAAACCTCAAAAATGTATGAGTGATATCACCAATGTTTATCAACACTATGATTTTAACTGGTGATTCTTCATCAACCTCCATTATGGTTTGAATTTAACTGGGGAAAGAAAACGGCATCATCTGTGTCAGTGGTTTGACTTGTCTGCGTTTTCCCATCACTCATCTCAGATGAACTGATCACTACAGAGGAGGATCAAGGAAGTGTCAGATCAGTTGATGATGCATATCACGTGGTGAGACAGCCACAGTGTGACAGAGAAAGGGAACGAGCATCTGCCCATCCCAGTGGCATCTCTGGAGAGAGAATCTTACCCAGCAGTACAGTGTTGGAGATGTTATGGGATCAATTAGCAGCGCTGCGCTCCCTTTGACTGACTTAATGACCATTCTTGTCACCTACTGTACTGCTGCCTGTATTCTGCAGCTCCAGAGATTCTATTGTAATCTAGGAAACCCATTTTCTCTCTCCAAGGGTCTGTAGGTGGTTATCTAATATTGTCTCACATTATAATGATTAAAAGGAACAACTCTGCACTTGTTTACAGTATGTTACTTATCACAACAGGAATTTTCTGACTTTTAATTAAACAGGGAAATATGACTGAGCACTCATGATGCTCTCCAGTACCACTCCGCCTCCACACAGTCTTCTGTTTACCACCCGACAGCTTTGCTACAACTTTGGGGATTTAGTGCAATGCTGCAGGGCATCTCAAACAAAGAAAATTACAGGATTTTTTCAACCTTCTCTTGTTGGCTACTACTTCTCTACCATGTAAATATGCTAACTGGATATCAACTCGCAGCCTCACACATGTAAACAAGCCATGAAATTGGCTACAGTTACAGTGATGTGGGGCAGTTTCTTAGTTTACTTTTCATGGGTCTCAGGCACAAGCATTTGGGATGATTCATGTAAAAATGAAGTTTATTTGAAAAGTTTTGGGAGGCTTGTTTGCCTTGATGTCATCATTTTGCTGAAGTCAACACATCTCTGCAATAGCTGTGGAGAGGATAAACTAAACATGACCCATAGTCAGAACGGCCGCAGTTAAATAAAAAAAGACCCAGAATGAATAATACTGCAACCTTCCTTTAAATGAGAAACGCCTTTCACTTGATCCCATCATGTCTGTAGAGGAAATAGGAAGCTGCAGACAGTTAGCTTAGCATAGCACAAAGACTGGAAATAAGGAGAAACAGCTAGCCTCTAAGTAGCACTAATTAATGCACTTCACTAACTCTTCTTTCAACTCAGAGCCCCTGCAGCCACAGATTTTGCTGATGTATTGCAAACTTGGTGCACACATATCTGCTAGTAGATCTTGTAGGAGATCTATAGTGGTTGCAAAGCTTGTAATGGTTCAGTGGTAGGGGTATAAGTTAGACATAACTGGAATAAAGCTGACATTTATTCGGCCTGTCAGTAGACGATATGAGTCTGAAAATTTTTTTTAAAGAAGCACAAAATATGCATACGTGTTCCTTCAAGGAACCCTAGTAATGTGCATGTTTGCTTTCAAACATTTATACTCTACCTCTGTTGGCCATAGCCGTCTCAATGATGTCCAGTGTTGGGTCGTCTTCGCACAGGTCATAGGGCATGTTCCCATCAGAGTTGACCGCCAGCAGATCTGCACCACTATGGAAATGAGCGGAAAAGTAATTCAACAAATATGCAATATTCATACTCAGAGGAAAGGTTGTTTAATATAAATCTGTGATCTAAATGTACTCAAAGGGGGAAAAATGATTGAAGTTTTCAGATTTTTCATAAAGGTTTGTTTACATCAGTAATGATTTAATCATCATAGGGAAAAGGTAGGTTGTGTTTCGAATTCTGATCAGTTGTGAAATGCCAAAAAAACTGTTGATCTATAAATGAAAGTCTTGGACAGGAATGACAAAGTTAAAACACTAATTAAAGATGCTAATTACATTCTTTTAGTCCAAAACAAGTTGGCCTTGCAGTTAAGATAGAGAATCAAATTAAATCCTAATACAATGTCTACATGTACAAGATCACTTGACTCTATACTTTTACCGTACTGTATGTGCAGCTGTCATATAAAAAGGGCATTTTTGCTGCTGTGGTCAGGGTTGCTGAATTATGCATTACATTTGCAGGACAAAGATGTTTAATACCAGTTCGGTCTGTGCCATTTGTAAATCACTGCATGTCCTGGTGTGAGGAGATAATTCAGTGTTATCGTTGGAAAAACATTCCCTGGAATCACATCAAGGTGATATGATCATATCATGTTATTGTTCTACCTGCCTAAATGAATGATTCTGAGCAAAGTGTAATTAAAAATTAAAGTGAGTTTGTCTAATGTAATGCAGTGAAACAGTTCACTGCATTATCAATTTGATTACTTTGTTTGTGATTCTGCATAAATATGCCTTATTAATATGCCTTGATGTTATTGTGAGACTAATTTCAACTAGGCTATACATTCCAGTCTTATTATGTCCAATGCTTCTTCCACACAGCTGTAATACAAGAGGACGATGATGCCGTTTCTACACCGTGACTTTAAGTCATTCTCTAATCTTTATTTTGGTTAGATTTTGTTTTCTTTATTATAATGTTGTAGTTTTTTTTTCCACGTCACTTCTCTTAGTGTTGGCATGGCATTTTCTCTACTGTTAGGTGCATTACCATCAATTTCTGCTACTCCAGGTTGCATCATGTTGATTTTTAGAATCAGGAAAAAACTCATTTCCCTTATATAATAATTCATAGCTTCCATCCAGATCATCTACTGTAGCCAGCTGAGGACAGTGGTCACATCAATATCTGACATCACAACTAAACTTCCCCTCCTTGAACCGCCACCTTATTGTGGTGGAGGGGTTTGAGTACCCGAGTGATCCTAGGAGCTATGTTGTCGGGGGCTATATGCCCCTGGTAGGGTCTCCCAAGGCAAACAGGTCCTAGGTGACTAGTCAGACTAAGAGCAGTTCAAAAAGCCCTTTATGAATAGAATTAAATCAAGGACTGCGACGTCGCCCGGCATGGCGCAACCGGGGCCCCACCCTGGAGCCAGGCCCGGGGTTGGGGCTCGAATGCCTCGAGAGAGGCTGGCCTCTGTACTCCTCTGGAGTTGCCCACGATGAGAGGCGGCGGGCATAAGGGGGCTTGCTTATAGCCCCCCAGCTTAGCCGCCATGTGTTGGAGTTTACCCCGGTGAACGAGAGGGTCGTTTCCCTGCGCCTTCAGGTCGGGGATAGGTCTCTCACTGCCATTTGTGCCTATGGGCCGAATGGCAGTGCAGAGTACCCAGCCTTCTTGGAGTCTCTGGGAGGGGTGCTGGAAAATGCCCCAACTGGGGACTCTGTTGTTCTACTGGGGGACTTCAACGCTCACATGGGCAGCGACAGTGACACCTGGAGGGGCGTGACTGGGAGGAACGGCCCCCCCGATCTGAACCCGAGTGGTGTTCTGTTATTGAACTTCTGTACTAGTCACAGTTTGTCCATAACAAACACCATGTTCAAGCATAAGGGTGTCCATCAGTGCACGTGGCACCAGGACACCCTAGACCAGAGGTCGATGATCGACTTTGTGATTGTTTCATCTGACCTCCGGCCGAACCCCGAACCCGGTGGTGGACACTGGAAGTAAGGGATGCCGTCAAGCTGAAGAAGGAGTCCTTTCGAGCATGGTTGGCTCGTGGGACAACTGAG